GCAGTAAACCGCCTATGAACGACATTAACTCCAGCTAAATGGAAGCAGATAATAGAGGAAGAGACCCCATCATTGGTCGAGAGGCCGCCGGAGGAATAAGTGAGAATGGAGAACTCTTCGCAGACTTCTGCTCTTTCAATGATTTGGTCATCTGAGGCAGCGCATACAAACACAAGGTTATACACATCGCGCTCTACGACACACTGGCCGGCAACTGAAGCAGAATAGTCAGGCATCAAGTAAAAGGGACCTCAGGACACTGCGTCAGACAACCAAGTTTCTATCCGACAAGAGATCAGTGAGGATGAAACCCTTAAAGGATGTTCAAGAGAACTTAGCGACAAGGAGTAGGGACGAATAAAACAGTGGAATGATCACTCAAAAAGATTCTTGAATCGGCCATCACCTGCATCTTGCTTGTAAACACACCACCAACACGAACAGAATCGCATGTCTGTGTACACCAGTCCTCCAGCGAAAGCAGAAATCTCGAATGAAATCAAGCTACTGAAGTCCAGTCGGGAAGGCAGTAGGGCCAGATAGAATTCCCCCGGGGCACTGAAATCAGACCCGGAGACTACAGCAGATATGCTCACACCGTTTTTGCAAAGGGTTTGGAAGAAGGGAAGGTACATACTGACTGGAAGAAGAGCTACCATGTCAAACCACCAAAGAAGAGCGACTTGCAGCTCTGCAAGAAATGGCGTGGAATAATGCTCTTGTCCACACCAGGGAAAACACCAAGTCGCTTCATCCTGGGGAAAATTAAAGATGCAATAGATGCAGACCTCCACGCCCCCGAAACAGGCTGGATTTAGGAGAGGCAAATCATGTGCTAATAAAATTGCAGCTCTGCGCATCGTTATCGAACAAAGTAAAGAATGGCAGTCAAAAGAGGACTTTAACTCCATCGACTTCGAGAAGGCCTTCGACAGCGTTGACTGAGAAAAAAGTTGAAAACTGTGTCAGCACTACTGCGTGCAGTGACCCAAGTCTCCATCAACCCCATTCGACAGCTACGTAATAGCGCCACGGGTCAGGTGATCCATAACGGAAAACTCAGCGAGGCGTTCCAAGTGAATACAGGAGTACGACAAGGTTGTCTGCCTATTATCACCCATAGTATTCTTGACTGCGATGGATTGGTTTATGCATCACGCTGTACATGGGGGCGGGAAGAAAGGAGTACGTTGGACTGGCCGACAAAAAGGCTTTGGAAGATCTTGATTTCGCGTGCGGACGATTTATGCTTGATGTCACACAAACTCGAAGATACAGGCAAAAGCCAACAAACTCACCGAAAAGTCTGACAGCGAAGACGGAACTCGAGATGAACACAGAGAAGACGGAGGTGAAAAAGGTAACCATCTAATACAAACAACAACAACCAGCACCAAACACTATCAAAGGGACAGGGGTTACTTCCTTCACTTATCTGGCCAGAAGCACGGTTTCAACCACCGGCCAACGGTGCAGACGAAGATGTCAAAGCTGATCAACCAGAATCGGAAAGGCAAGATACACCTTCATCAATATGAAATCAGCTTGAAAATCTTCTGCACTCTGCAGTGTAAGGGACAAGACTCGGATTTTCAAGACTGTGAAGTCAGCCACTGCTTCTATACGGGACAGAAACTTGGCTAGCATGTCAAGAAAAGGATTTCCAAAAAACCTATATAAACTTTTATCAGCAGCTGCCTTCGCTCCATACCAAAGGTCAATAAAAAACTCTAATAACAAACCAACCAGGGACCAGCATATTTCTGTACACTGCTACCAAACCGTCTGTGATAATAACAAACGCCAGGTTGCGAGGTTGTTGATTGCAACGGTCTATTTTCGTTACGCCAGGAAGAGTTTTTGCAAGAACGAGACGTGCGATTTCGTGAAGTTCTTTCAGCTCTAATCTCCTCGCCAAGACCACACATCTCCTGATACATCTGTCTGATGCCGAAACTGGGGCACTTAATCGATGAATGGTGGTGGTCTTCACATGGAGAGCCAGTGGATAGAATCGCAGAAACGGTTGTGAATGGTCTGGTTGCCTTGACGGCTCTTTCAGCTAACCCCACTAACTCCGCCAAAGGTGATTTACAGAAGGGTGCCGGAATCCCTTTCACTACCTGAGGTAGCCTTTGCAACCACATTGTTTTAGAAAGGTTTCATCTGCTCTAAAATCAGCAGCCAGCTGCTTTACCTCAGGGGGCATTTGCAAGGGCTTCAAGTTCAACGTCTCTGAATGCTTCTTGCAGTTTCCGTTGGTCGGCAAGTGCTACTCTATTGGTCAGAACCCCATTCATTCAAACAAAAAATAACCTTTTATGCAAAAGTGAAACAAAACAACCACTAGATAAAAATAAACTACCACCAACTGGGCTTATACTTTGGCTAAGAATGAGATGGGAGTTCACCTATTGTAAATTGCTGGTGTTGCGCCCGATAAGTTATACTTTACCAGTACTTACTTGACGTAATTTACCTATGTACCCAATAATTCAATACTCTACCTAAAGTGTAAGTATTGACGATAAAATGCAAATTAAAAGGACTTGGTTATTAGAGAAAAGTGCTCTAGAGTGCCATATATTTGAGTGAAATAAAGGGTAAACATTATCTAAGAATAATATTCTAAAGGTGAACAAAAGTGTGGCATGGTGTTTCCCCTCCTAATTATGAATGCTATAGAGAGTTAAAAAAGGCGAAAAACAAGCACACAGATATCAAGTCGGTAATTGTCATAATGGTTGTTACCATTATATTAGAAGTGGTTGGACGATTTTCTTTTCTACGCATAACTCTGATTTTGCCAACTGAATGTCTGAGAAGTCAACAATACAAAGGAGATGAAAGCATGTTGCCTTTGGTAGGTTATTCTCTACTTTGTAGATCACTTAGGAGGAGGCATTTGCTGAGATGGAATGACGAGTGTTGACGAGATGTTCGATAATCGCCCTCCTTAATGGCCACTATTACCTTTTTGTAGCCATGCAGGATAGTTTCCTTGAACGTTTTTGGACAGTATTACGTATCGAACGACCGATGTCCTTGGCTCCACAGAAACAGGCCATTCTGATTTTACCTTTACAACAATGCGACAAGTACAAAAGACACATCCCATTTTCTTTCACCATGTAAATAACGTGGTGAAATTACTTGGGGAATTTCCAGTCTTTATCTTTAGATGCGTAAAAGGTGCACGGTTCCACTGTCAGCAGCCACAGGCTTTTAACTGACCAGTCATTTGATAGAAATAGTCACTTTAGAACCTGATATCGAAGCGAGCTGTTTCATGTTATTCTATATGATCATGGGATTTTGAAACATCCCGAATTCTCTTTAGTTTTGACAGACCAGGCTAAATTTCCAAACATCACGATTCTTTCCTCTGCCTTTGCTGAAACTCGTGTGATTCTTGTTGTTTTCCTTGCGTCATATGGCGTTCTCTTAACTCATCTGAAGTCATTCTAGCACTATTCCCAGTGCACAAAGTAATTAAACGTATGCTAGAGCAATGACGTCGAAATGTATCAAATGGGACTGGTCGTATATCTGAAGGTGCGTTAGACAACATCATTGTAGGTATGGCTTTCCAGGCCTCATGTCCCAGCATGTTGAATGCTGTAACATCAGAAACCCAGGTATTTCGAGCTGACAAGAAGACTCCGAATTAGCATGTTAAAATATGTTGCTGTCGGACAATAAAAAATTTGTGGCAAATACACAAAATTACCTCAATCAATCCGTCTGCAATCTATGCAGTCCAAAGGTTTGCCCGGTATTGAATACGTACACAAAAATGAACGCATAATAACTCAAAATCAACAAGAAGGTACCCATTAAAGAGGGATCAGCAATCTGTCCTCAAGGATCAAGCTGAATAAAACATAAATATCAACAAACAAAAATATCAACAATAACAAATTAGCAATTTTCTGCCATCAGCTTAGAATATAATAACAGCAAATAGACGAATAAGGAATGATCCAGTCAAAGATAGGGTCAAAGATAAAGTCATAGGAAGACGTCTCGCGTCAAAAGAGAAATGCAAAAGTCATTTGCGAAGGATGAAATTTGCGAAATCGATGGAAAATATTTGAAACAGATACGAATACCGCCGAGAGACTGTTTGGGAGGCATATTTAGGCCATTCATTCTATCACAAGACCATAAGATAACAAGTGCTACATGTTAATAAACATTCTTCGTAGTAATACCCTGAAAACATAAATGTAAGCATTCGTTTTAAAGAAATAACTTCACTAATATCAGCAATTGCAACACAAGCCGGATGCTATTATTACCAGAGGACTTCACTTCTGCCAGACCGAAAGTACCTTTAGGATATTAGACAAAAGACTTGAGGATTGTGGTAATTATTACCTTCAATGTCACAAGTGTTAGGGAAGAAGAGATTAGGCAGCAAAATATTATGTATCAGCAGCGAAAATTTCATCTCCCTTTGAATTGTGAAATGCCTCGAACTTAATTTCAAACTTATTAGAGCAAGAACAACGGTTCTTGCTGGGTAAGATGGTGCTGTTAATTGCTTTGCTGGCTGCTCATCAGCTGCATACAGTTAGAAATTATGTGCGGAGAAATTTTAACATATTTGTAAATGTTACATTGCGTCAGTTGACAGGAGGTTCTAACTTAATAAAAGATGTTCGGAAAGTCACATTTAAATAACTGTTACCCAGGGAGTTCAATTTTAAGCAAAAATAAATTCTTGCATGCAATGGTAAAAGAGTTTTGTGATAGAAACAAGAGGTAAGATGATGTGTAACTGATAAATAGCAAACAATGTTTTACACAAATTATCACGTGACTCAACCTGAATACACAATTATTACTAAGATCTCTAATTCCAGGGAACTCCTCTGTCGAAACTCCTACATGTGGCGTAGTAATTAAAGGCCATCAAAATCTTTGTTTAAGTTGCTGTTCGATTAACTAGCGCGAAGAATCGATACAACTCAAGGTGTTCATATATATTCATTGTCATGACAGCTTCTCCTGAGCAGGTGGACAATTCTTTTCAAAGTAAGTCACGAGGCACTTTACATCCTTAAACTATTCGTCTTGGCATTATTTATTAATTCTGATCCCTATTGTCATTCTACATTATCTTGTTTGTGAAATCATATTTTCCACCAAAACTGAAACACTGGTCACATGCTGTATTAGTTTAGTTTCTTTTCGTTGGTGTATACCAGATCTGGTTTTAGTTCTTGTCTCATGTAGGCTTAACTCAGTCACACGCTGAAGACTTGACTTGTTCCGAATATACCAATTGAGTGGAAAGTTGGTAAAGCTCGTCAGAGCTCTCCATTTTTGAGAGAACTACTTTACACTAAGAGATGCAGTGTAGTCAGTAGGACTTTATCCTCAGGGATTCCAGGTTTGTGATCTGATGACTAGTGTGTACATTTTCACACCTACCTTTTGTACTTCTAAAAGTGACTGAACTGAAAGGTTAGGGAAGCATGGGCAGGATTCTTTCATCACTGACCCTATGCTAAAGTAGTAGCCCTCAATCAGTTTTATTCTGCAATTGTAGTATTTAAATACTGGCTCATCTTTGCAATAAAGAGGCTTTCAACATAGAATGTTATCAGTGATGATTTCTCAGAAAGTCATTTAGTACTGAGAATTCAGTACACAGCGCGTCTTAGATCAAGTTTACGTGACTGTCTGCTCTTTTGACACGATATTAAGCAGCGACCTGATGGAGAATGGAATCGTGTGTTTCAGTGATGACTGGAGTATACACGGTGTATGGAATTCACCTAACTCACTTGGAATGGACAACTGCGTGGCGTATCGAATAGGCATTTCGCGAAATTCTGTCTAGTCTAATGACTGATGTGAAAGCCAGACGTTTCGGTATGATTGCTCGTTGTGAGGGTATGCCTAAAAAAGTAAGGTAGTTTGAGTCAGCTTTAAGGAATCTCATGTTTCTTGTAAACGATGAGTATTGCTTTGTGATCACCGTTTCCTTTCGCGACAATAACAAGGTTTACAAAAACCGCCGTGAATATAATTCTTTTTCCAATAGGACTGAATGAGTATGTCGTGAATAATTTGAATTTTTCCTTTAGTAAGTGATGCCTATTGGGTAATAGGCTTACCAACATCATCTGTAATCTCATGCAGTTATCAGAGACTGACGAAAGTCTGAGTTTGTAAATCCCTCTACCTTCACGAGACAAGGTTTTTCTTAGGATGTTTTCAACTGATCGGTTGAATTTTCGTCGATAATCTTTGCAAAGTTCAGTATTTCGACTTGCCGTACTTCCTAATGCACATAAGGCTAGAGAAAATTCAGAGAAATTGTATTTGGCGGAAATTTAGTAGCAAAGAATAACTATACACAAGAAAAGTATTTCATGGATATGAGGATTGCAGAGTAATTGTGTTTGCGCCGGTGAGAACTATTTTGAGCTGTGTCATCAATCGTGAGCAATTAGTTCTGTGTCTGGAGGACTTCAGTCCGTCTAAGTACACATCGCAAGTGAAGATTGGTAAGTGAAAGTACCGCAAGATTACCAGCATACAAAGGTGTGTACCAGCTGCTGGGAAATTGCTAGGTTTTCAGGTATAATTGAAAGAGAACAGAGGATATAAGCATTGGAAGTCTTTCATAACTTCTAGGACTTGAAATAAGTTAATGTGAAAGTCAGTCAGTTATTTTGCAGCTAAAGCTCCTCGTACTAACCGCTTTTTTACTCTCTCAAATCCACCGGTTTACTGAAGCAACTAAGTAGCCTGAAGTTGCTTGATTTTGGACAATCACTAGTAAAACTACTTAAGTTCCATTAGTCAAAGAGCATTAATGCACACTGATGGGGACGTTTCCACACATTTATAGTTTGTTGCATAAAACGCTTTGTTTAGGTTTCTGGATCTAGTTAGTACAAGGCATTGGACTTGCATTTTGTTGTTTATGCAATTTTTTTGTTCAATAAATTCAGTAAATTAGTAAAGTATGTTAACTCCTGCCTAATTGTTCACAGTTCAATCAAAAAGGATGTCTGGCATAAGTCTAAGAATATAATATCTTGGGCTAGCTGATTTCCTGGTGCTATTGCTAAACTCATTTAGCACGGTATGAATGCACTTATCAGCTACTTTAGTCGAGTAAAATAGTAAAACTATATGATTAGTCCATGCCATGCTTAACACAAAGTGGCTAATCGGTCAAGATGATACAGAAATTGGGTTGCTGGTCGAATTCTCTCCGTTAAGTGCAAAACCTTTCCGTCACCATAGGACCAGCTTACAGATGTTAGGCAACGTGTTTAAGGATGTTATCTTATATACCTGAAACCACAATCAATGGAAATCGTCTTCTAGAGCAGTCTTTCAACTGCTCAACATCTTGTTTGTGTGGTTTTGATCCCTGTCACCAAGTCCTTCGAACTCTTCCCCACCCACTCAGTAGCGTTTTGGACATTACTAACATGACGAAAACTAGCGTGATATTAAGGTAATCTTAGTCGTATGTACCTAGTTCAAGTTTGCCGTTTCATGTTACTGTAATAGCACCTGATCTATTTTTGGGGAAATTGTTGTGACCCTCCTACCTTCACCTTTTTCACCTCATAGGCACGATTGGGAAGAATCATATAATTCAAATCCGTAAGAAGTAACTAGTTTGTCTGATTCATATCTGTCATCTGCTTCAGTTGTCTTGATTAGTAAAGAATTGAGTTGGAAGAGTTAGAGGTAATCGGACCAAAACCATGGTGTCAGTCCATGAAGTATTCGGCAGTTGGTTTGAACCACATAAGAAAGTTTGTTTGTCTGTTTAGATTCTCCTGGGTGAAAACTATTATCTGGAGACTACTAATGATATAACTGTAAATCGTTATCAGTGGCGCAGATATATTCACCCTTTGTGATCACTCATTAGTATTGAACCCACATGTTTTTTCGTGTGACTGTTCTTCTGTACGTTTCTGCTCATTGTGTTTCTTGATGTTCGATGGTTAGAGATAGTTTGCAGGATGATTTCTTTTGAATTTCGTTTTTTCTTTTTCTCAGTGTACTATGCAGGGTGTAGCACATTCAAGTGCTGCACCTCTGTGCAACGTTCTATGTTGCGACTCAGTTATTCTCTTGATTTCCCTTTAATACTAAAGCTCTCTTCAAAAGTTATCTCCGGTCAGCGTGCTGTTACTTCAGTGGACACGATAATAATTTCTTTCTAGTTACGTAAAAATTTATTAACTTCAGCATTTTAAGATTATTTTTTGTCAACGAATTATTGTTATTTATCCATTTTAAACGAAACTTTTGTATGGGTACAATGAATGAAACAGGTGAGCACACTTATCCCGGTAAATTCCAATAAGCATTCGTCACTTCACATCATTTCCATTGTTAAAAGAAACAAGATAAAATCAGCATGTTCGCCTTAAATATCATTCCAGCCTATAGGGTCAGGTTGGAAAAGAGCTAGCGGCGGTCAAACCAAAACATGGCACCAATCAATGAAATACACAACAGTTAGTCTAAGCCACGTAGGAAGGTGTAGACTTCCTAGTTGGGGTCCTCGGGACGGTAAAAACCAATGGTTGGAAACAATTAGTGACATGGCTCAAAATCGTTCTCAATGGCGCAGATGCATCCACTCCTTGTGACTTATAATACCCAATAAAACTATTTTATTCTTCGACATTACTATTCTTTTTGCCTCATATCTCTGTTTACTGTCTCTAATATGCATTTCTTCTGTTACTTTGTGTGCTACAAGGAGGGAGTGTGGCGACTTCAACTTCCGCACATATGTGCAAAGTTCTATGTCGAAAACACGGAAATTTCATTCCGATACATTTGGCGTCTCAAGCTACAAAGTTTCGTGGCCTCTTACTCCACGCAAGAAGTCATGATTTACCAACATTTACCGACCCATCATAACTCTTATCCACTGCATAGCACCACATCATATTCTAACTTACTGATTTTGTCAGTTGGTCCCAGTGCTAACAAACAGCATGGTTTGAAAGCCCGTGTCTTGGCATGTGTAGAAAGTTTCTAGACTATTAAATATCTTCATTTGTTGAATCACCATCTTCATGCCCGAACCGGCTGACTTAACACGGGATGTTACAGCTCCTACTAGGTGCAATGGTGGTGTGCATGGTTCCCGCCGATCCTTTGTCAAGTACCACACGGAAAGTAACCACGCACGAGGGCGCCCTTGGCCCGACTTCTATGGCGGTGGAAAAGGTAATCTAAATTTATGCAACTGGGAGTACCATCTGCCACATCAGCACTTACTAAAAACACTCATTTTTCCGCATACTGTATCGTGTTCGGTTACAGACTTTGCACTAGTACAATGAGAAATGAATTGCGTTCGGTCACTATTCTCGAACTGATGAAATGCAATTTGTCGAATCTTTGGCGTGTGGTCAAGGTCGAATGCTGTGGGCTTAAATGACGGCCTCGCGCAACCTTCAGAGTGCTATCAACGATAGAGTAAAAATAAAGCTAATTGGGTGACCCTTCCTAACTCCACTACTGGTTAACAGTGATAGGTACTGGTTTCACATTTTTCTGTTTTGGACTTTCGAAATGTTGACAAACTGCTCAGAAACACTCCTTCCCAACACACGATCTCAATGAACAATCCTGTCAAACGGGTTATTTTTTCTCATCTCACTGAGATCTGTATACTGAAATAGACATTGTTTCTGAGGTAATGGCTGTTATTTGCGTTCAGGACACACGTGTGTTATTACCACCGCGAAATCCGCCATGTGAAATAAAAGGCCAGGTAAACGTTTTAAACAGTGGCGTGGGTATTAACTAGCCCACTATTAAACCTCATTAATCCACGAAGCCGTTTTATTTTATGGGTGAGAGCCCTACATAGATTAATCTACTTATCATTCGCGCGAATTGACCAATGTGGCCAGAAGGTAGGTACTAGTAACTCGTATATTCAGGGATTATTAGTGGGATGCTATTCTAATCTGTGACAGTATTTCCAAATTTTGTGGCGAAAGCTGTGTCTAATATCAGTTTCAAGCAGTTAGGTCTTGCTTTAGGTTGATCACGTTGGTTATCATTACCCCGGTATGCATAAAATTGCCTGCTCACTTAGCAGTCACCAGTATAACTAAACAGGGGATATAAGTCAAGCATCGTTATAAGCCATAAAAATATACCTCAATGAATCTTGTGATTATTTTACGGTAGTTTTTCTATCCCTCATCCATGCTGCACTTACCTGTGTCACATTTTTGAGATTCCAGTTACGGACTTTTTAACAAAGGGAATATTCGTGGCATGATTACATGGTTTTCATGAAATAGTTTCATTACCACGTAAAATTGTCTTATATATAATCATTGACTTCACCAAAATTGGGTGATGGGAAATATACAATGACACGATGACATTAAGTGTATTTAAATATAGCAAGCTGAATCGTCTTAACAGTTAATACCGTAAGTCAATAAATTATTTAAAAATCTGACTAGGAACAAGAGAGTATTTGGTTTGTTTTATGAGGCTGGAACTTCTTAGGCACCAAAAAGGCGTGAACATTAAGTTATATCCAAAATGATGAAATGTGGCAATTTATTTTCTCTGTTTCCAATTTTAACTTTCTAGGTATACCAGAAACTGATGCTTCTTTTGAGGGCAAAAACTTGGCATTATCCCATCTTGATGATGTCATTGACTCTGTTGTTTCTGAAGCCATCGAATACGCTGATAAACCCCCTGAGGAGAGAACACTTCCCAAATTAATCCGGAAGGCTCCTCCTCCGCCTCGTGTTCGTCCCTCTTTAAATATGAACGACTTCAATCAGGCTCGCAATTTCGCTACACCAAATGGTTTAAATCAAATGCCATTCCTAGCTGCTAGTGGTCCTAATCAATTCCAGCAAAAGCTAAATGAACAATTCCCGACAATGGTACCGTTTAATTCTGGTCAAGTGACAACGGCTGCTCAGCAACAATTATTAATGCAGTATAATGGACAGTATCCAGCTCAACAACAGCAACAACAACGTCAGCAACAGCAGCAACAACAACAACAGCAGTACTCACAAGCTGCACATTTTCAAGCCTTACAGAATCAACAAGCTCAATATCAAGCAGTTAATGCAGCAGCCTTAGCGCAAATGCAACAACTGCAGCGTCAACAAATGCAGGTATGCTGCTGGGATATTCTCTATATTACTGAATGTTTACCTATTTGGATTGTATATTTTGCACTTTCGCCTTGCTCAGACTTGTGTGAACTGAAGTAGATGTGAAGGGGGGGGGAATTCAAACTTGTTAGCCACATCTCCACTGTGATGAATGTCTCCATCTCCCATGCCTTTTGTGTTCCGAGTGGAACACATGGTTTCAAACATGAGCTTTTAAGTTTCGCTAGCGGTGTTTGTAGTTTACGAAGATGATGAATATATATATATTTCTGAATTTCTTGGTGGCTATTATAAAGCGCTAATAGGTCACTTTGTAGAGTAGTAACGGCTAGAAGAGAGATGATTGCCTGGTTTTGTTATGCTGCAGTATGTTGTCAGGGTTTTTTATTTTATTTCTTTTTGATTACAGCTTGATTCCACACTGTATTTTTGGTACAAGTATGGAATTTCCTGCATGGATATCGGTAGCCCAAATTTTGCAGGCCGACCATAGATATCAGGTGTGCGTGGGCTGGGGATCGAACCTCGGACCATCTGCATGGTTGGTGAGAGTCCTAACCACTGTGCCACCGACTTTTGATCCCAACATTTGTCATTGGTGAAAAGCTAAACGAAGTATAAGTGCTCAATGGGGATCGTTATTCTACTAGAGAGGCAGACAACTTTAACTCAAATAGGTTTTGTAGGTCTGTGATTGGATTGATTTTCCGGGGTAAAGTCCTATGGTCACACGCCCCAACCTTTCTTCTTTTCTCAGACTTACGACTGGGACTAGTAAACTAGGCTGCAGACTTTTATCAGCGACTGGTGCAGCCTTCACTGGTTGTATGCTGAAGATCAGACGACCAGTGAGAAAGGACTAGGAGCAAGAAACGCTAAAAGGTGAAGAATCTGTTGTCGAACAGATATTGCAAAGAAAGTGGAGATGGGTCCGAAACATGTTGAGGAGACCATTGAATGACACCAAGCCCCATGATATTTAGTGGGAAATAAGTCTGGTTGCGAGGGTGTCATGAAGGGGATTGTGTGAAAAACAGATAAGAGCCTATGGGGGACAGTCGTGGAGCCAGCTATAAATAGGACTGCGGAGAACTGGGCAAAATGGAGTCGGAACTCAAGGAAATCGTAATAACTTTGTAGACTTATTTGTGGTTCTAGCATGGGGAACGTGATGCAACTCCATACAATTGTTTACGCATCAATCGAGCTATGAACAACTCACTACACCTGATCTTGTCTCTCAGGTTATTCAGGGTCATACAAGTCTAATGTGAGATTTATATGGTATATGCTTAAATTCTCGTGTTATGACAACGCCGCCTTGAACGGATATCGGATGCTGTAGGTGAAAAAAATGTTCACAGTATGCGTATACACTTCATACCCCCAATGCTTAAGTTTTAAGGCTTTTTGTTTATGAAGTTTTTAAATAAGAAAAAAAAAGCTATGGTAAAATATATTTTTGCTAGGCTGCACTTCTCAAAATTCTACATCACAAAACCCTAACCAAACAAACAAACTAACAGGCCTACTACTACTGCTAGCGTTTTTTTTTCAAACCCTCAAGCGAATTGACTGACTGTTTGTCAGTCTTTGTTTTCCTCACTCCTTCCCCACCCTCATATCCACCACCCATCATCATCACCGTCCTCTATGTTTCGTTTTACAGTCAGACCATGTTTTCCATTAGTCATATAGGGTAGGGCAGGGTAGAGAAATTTTTTTGTGGAGGTTAATACTATGTATGTGAGTGACATACAAACACAACAGACAAAAACACGTATACATCATTATAGAGAAATTCGTATATACACGCATATATATATGTATATATGTGGGCGTGACTGGCACTATCGATATTTTGGCCTTGACCAGAATTTATCAATGCAGTATAATGCAGTCTATAATTTTCTGTCTGCATGTCTAACCTTGTCAGCTAATTTTTCAAAATTTGCCTGTCGGTCCACACACATTATAGAGAACGAGATGTGATAGAGAGATAAATCGTTTTTGTTGTTTGTATTATATGGCTTAAGCAAGCTGTTGTCTTCTTGTCAAAGGCATAAAAAGTAGTATAGTAGAAGTAGAAGTTGTAATTGAATGCCAACGAAAGCGCCTATTTCCACTCCACTAAAAGGGTATCCCAGTATCATCGCAACCGCCAAACATACTACCGTTAGGCTGTGACTATTATTGGTTTATGAATTTAGGAAAGTATCGTGAATAAATATAAGTTCTTATTTATCAATGGGAATGTGGTGATTTTAACCGCATGTTTCGTCGGTGAAATTCACTTCTACAATGAGTTAACCAATATTCCGCAAATACTCGCTGAAGACATTGGCTAGGGTCGTGGTGTGTCGTGAATTGGAAGAAGTTAGAATCCATGGGCTGATTATTGGATCAGGTCCCAACGACTTAATGGTCTAGGAGCTCACTAACCTTATAGCCAGAAGGTTCTGGGTTCAAACCCCCGTGGTAGACGCGTACTGGTGAAGAGTCCAGAACTGGGACGAAACGGCTGTCCAGCACCCCTAGGTTTTTCAGTGGTTCCGTAACTGATGTCAGCTCCTGCTGAAATCCTGTAAACAAAACATATTTGTCAGATTCGGTCTCTAGTTGTAACAGCAATGCTCACCACTATTTTCTGTTGTATGTTTCATTCATAGAAGTAGTGCACTTGGTGGCGGGTTGGTTGGTCTACACTCTGCTACTAAGACCGTGAATCACAGTTGTGAGAATCGGGTTTGTAGGGATTAAGTGCAATCATCACCTCGACTAAATTGGGTTCGATGTTATCAACTTAGTCAGTACAGTTGCTGCTTGACATTTGCTTAACTTTTAGCATCTATATGGGCAATCTTTTCAGGTACATAATGTGTTTGGATGGAGGATTTCATCATGAGCTGACATCAGTTAGAGAACCACTGGAAAACCATCTGGGAGTACTGGGCATCTGTTTCGTCCTAGTTTGGGACTCTTCATCAGTACGCACCCACATAATGTTTTACAGTTATTTCTTGCATCAGATGATAGAAATGGTAAAACTAGGTCAGACTTTATGTTACTGTAGCGTCGTATACTTTTTAGTGGTGTCACAGTATGAGCAGTAATGCCTAAGTGTTAGGTATTCATTTCAGGAAAAACTGGCGACGGGGGGTTATAGAGATGTTGATGAATACAGATTGTGAGTGAATTTGTTAAGGCGCATGACTGATTGACTGGTTTCAACATGAGACTTTGCACAGAAGTGCTGCACACAGTCCGAGTTGCAAAACTCCATGGTAGCACACAAAAGAAGACAAACGAGGGGGACAAAGATTTAATAAAGGATATTTAACGAGGATATTAGGGAGAAGAATAGGGTTTAATGGATATAGATCACAAAAGGTAAACATTTCTGAGCCAAACAGGCAGCCTACACCTCCCTATGTGGTTGGCTCAAACTAAGTGTCGAAGATTTTGTGGACTTACTACATGTTTTGGTTTGACCACCACTAGTTCTTTTCCAACCCGATTTTATGTCAACTAACATTGCCCATCGAATAAGGCATGAGTTCCACATGTCACAGCCGTCTCTATCTATGTAGCTTCGCAACCTCATCGTCTGACTTACCATACTTACTTCATTACTCGAAGCCTAACTTCAATATTACTTATCCTACTATACTGCCTTACACGAATAATAGAACGCAGATATCTATGCTCGAGAACAGCTAGACTTTTAATGTGTTTCACTTTCAATGTCCATGTTTCACATTCATAAAAGAGGACAAAGTGAACAGTTGTGCATTGCACACGTCCTTTAATCGATAGCTAGATATCAAGTATACGCCAGAGGTCACTTAAGTTGGGAAATATCTTAATGAGCCTTTGATATGCGTGGTGAGATTCAGTCAGCAATCAGTCTGTTGGGCTAGTGCAACTTCTCAAGTAAATGATGTGGTCAACACGCTCAACCATTTCTCAATATCTGTCTACAACCAGTCCCATCCTGTAGCATTATCTGACATTTGACAGGAGTTGTTGAAATGGGTGTTGTACTGTGCCTGTCGCGCTTTATCATGTAAATCTGATCGATTTAATTATTCTAGTTGTACCTGATTTGAATTCAAAGACATTTCAAAATGAGACAAACCAACCTCATTGCTATTCACCTCTTCATTGCCATCAACCGGTTATATTAACGGCTATAAGTGAGGATGCTGAGTACTTCAAAGTGAACACGTCTGTCTATAATAGTTTTGTTAATACGGATGTGTTCACTAGATTTCTGTGTCACATTGGTCTAGACGCTCGATTTCCGACTAGCTAGCAGGTCACGAGTTCAAACCCAAATTCAACAACCAAGGTCTCAGCAGTCACTCAGTGTATCACTAGCCCTCGTGGCATAGGCGTTGTTCGTTGACAACCGTGTATGGAACTGCATATGAGATTGCTGAGTAGTAACATTTTTTTGGATTTCTGCATCACATTTCAGTTTCCAAATGAAACGACCAGTAGGGTGCAGCAAGTCGGGTGTGAGAACAAATACTCGCTGAAGACACTGGCTAGCGGTTGCCGCCATATCGTGAATTGGCAGAAGTTAGAATTCGTGGGCCATTTGATCGGGTCTCAGTGGCTTTATGGTCTACGAACTCGCCTTGTAACCAGAAGGTCCTGGGTCCAAACCCTGGCGTAGGTACGTACTTCTGAAGAGTCCCAAGTCAGGATGGAGTAAACAGCTGGCTGTCCAGTACTCCCAATGGTTCTGTAATCAATGAAACGAAAACTCTTTCTTTCATCAATTGACAGAAATTAACTTATTTCATATTCTGTTAGCATAAATAATATTCATTCTCCTTACATTCCTCTCCATACAGCGTCAACAACAACAGCAGCAACAACAGCAAATGTCTACTCCAAATCGTCATATGTTGTATTCAGCGTCTGGATCACCTCCTATCAGTCCAGCGGTAGTAAATAATTCTCCTGGAGCTCAACAACAGCAACAACAACAACAAGCTCTAGCTTCAGCACAACAACAATTACATCAGTTGTATGCAGCGGCTCATCAGCTGCCTGGTAAGTGTTTCTTTTTTTCCCTCGGTATAAATATCCACTCAGGAAAGTTAATAACTACATACAATTTCGGGAGTTGTAAGATTGTCATTTTTATGCTGAGTGTGGTGCATTTGTTTTCCTCTGAATAAGTAGTGACCTATTAGCTGCTAGGTCACGGGTTCAAGTCCCGATATACATACTTCAGCCTTGATAAACGGGGTAGTGCCATCAGCCCCTTAACACATATATGCGTGACTGTTACTCTGATGCATAGGCGTAGCCTGTTTTCTCATATTTTCACTTTGACGATACCAGTTGATATAATTTCTGTACGTTACTACTTTCATAGTCGCATGAGACAGCGACAGACGTGATCATTCCCCCTAGATTTATATTTTCTGCATACCAGATGGGCACCTGTATAGTAAGTAGACAGTTCAAAATGCTAAGGAATTATGAAAGCAGTAATAAAAGTTGCTTGATTACCGAGACATTAACCCCTTCGAAATAAAGTAATCTCTTAGGATAAACGATTCAGGTTTGAGTTCCTGATCTGTTCGTCATTCTTGCGTTAATCTGATCCACGTTCTATGCATATTGGTGTCATATATCAGCAATATGAAGACATTTCAACAAGACTGGATTAGGTTTGTTTTAAGTTTGTCCGTGCATTGATGTCATTTAGAAAAGCAGTGAAAATTAGGAAGTTCTTGACAGTTGTTACGACCTAGTTTGGAACACATCACCCATGACCCAGACCCGAGATTGAGTCTAGGTTAAGAGGGCAGCCTTGTTGACAATTCGGGTTACTGGGCCAAAATCCAATAATGGGCCATAAACTCTAACTTGTTTCACTCAGCACCATCGCCAGGCAATATCACCGACTGGTGGTGAACGCCACCAGTAGTCACAAGTGCTCACTTAGACTGCAGACTACATCTTCGTGAGTACTACACCAATTCACGAGCGTTGCTTTGCAGGAATTTCACTGATTCCCAATCTGATCACAGAATGATATCATTTAGAGAAGTATTGAGAACTAGGTTGTACTAGACAACTGTTTCATTGTAGTTCGTTACACTACTCAGTAGTATGCACCCAACGAACCCACCGGGGATCGAATCCGAAGACCTTCTAGTTATGGTGTGCCCAAGGTGATTACCTATTCAGTCACTTAAGCTTTTAATGAAAACAATAGACAAATGGTAGGTGTATGACATTATTGAAAATTGAACTCTTTTGTATTTACCAAATATTATTATTATTGATTTAGGCATGATGCAAACTTTCCCTCCAAATCAAGTTCAACAACCAAATATTCAACAAAGTATACAAAGTCAACAACAACAACCTCAAGTACAACAACAACAACAGCAGCAGCAACAAGTATGCAATCAACGCGTATGGACAAATGCTGAACAACTACAAGCAGCTCAACAACAACAGTTAGCCGTTGCAGCGGCGGCTGCTGCAGCTGCATTCAATCCTAATTCAGTTCAACAACAATACATGCAACAACAACAGCAACAGCCTTCACCCCAACAACAAGCAGCTCAACGTATGACAAACGATTTTCAAGCCTATGCTTATCAACAGTAACACTGTAAACAACATTTATATTTATATATATAAAATAAAGAGTTACACAAACCTCTTTTATCGATCTCTCCTGTCTCTCTCTCTCTCCATCCTCTCTCTACACAACACATACACCTAGTATTCCTTATTGCGTGTGTGAATGTGTGTGTGTGTGTGCTGTTTTACTATAAATATTATGTATTTTTAAACCTTTTATAAATTGATTTCATTCACGCATTTGCCTGTATGTTGGTTTCATCCACTACAAAAATTGCAATTATACATACATATATACATAATATATAATAAATGAGGATCCTGCTCCCTAAAAACACTTTCTGGCCTGTCAACAGCTGCCTTCCTTGGTAGGTATGTTTTATTCTGTGTCTCTTATCTCCGTCCCCCTCCCTCTGTAATCTAGTGATGATGAGCTCTTATCTTCTTTTCTCTTGACAAACAACACATAGAAACAAAATCTTTGATTTTGTGCCTTGTTGCATTTTATTTTCTCTGTCTTTTTGTCCCCCGCACCCACTCTCTCTGTGTCTCTCCTTTGTTTGAATCTCGTATCACTACTTTGTTTGTTTTGCTTGCGAAGTCCTCCTCCTGTCTCTCGTGTATTATAGCCCGCCGTCTGTCCTTGACTCTAGCCTCCTATGGGTCCTCCACTTCTCCTCCTACTACTACTACTACGTCTAATGAGTATATATCATACATATAAGTGTGTGTATGTATATTTATACTCGACTCCACATTCAAATCCATCACAATATGCGCATTTAAATAATTTTTATTTTGTGTTCTGCTGATGAAGACTTTTTAAGCAAAGAAAAATTTCCTCGGGAACAAAACACTTTTTTGTAATATCTGTGTGTTTGAGTGTGTATGTGTATGTTGCACGGACATGAGTCGACGACGCCCTTGTGTACGTTTCATAACCCCCCCTCACACACACTCACACTGGTCTATCCGACCCTTTTTCAATCTTTTCTATCGACAATGTGTAAATTTATGACATTCCATGTGGGTGCGTGCGTGCTTGTTTTTATTTGGTAGGTCTATAATATTATTACTACTTCACAAGTCGACATTTTTAACAAAACCTATTTTACATCCATGTTTATTATTATTACTATTGATAACTAAGCATTGCTTAGAGGCGTGGGAACCGTGGCATAAAAGGTCAGGTTCCGACAATCCTGTCTTTTGTTTACTTACTCGTAAGTGTGTGGGTGGGTGTGTATGTGTTCATATCGTTCATATTCTCCTTATACCTGATTATGATTTGATGAATATGATTTGGTAGCTACTACTACTACTACTACCACTAATAATAATCATGATCCTTTTATTTGTTTTCTTTGTAATTTCTCTCACGAAAACTCTCATTTCCTTTGTTTTGTTTATAGGACAATCATTATTTTTTAAATCCCTTCTTACACCCGAAGTCGAATAACACTTTCTCTCACTCTCTCTCTCTCTCTCATGTATTTTGCATATTTTTAGTCCCGTTTTAATTAAGTAGTGAATTTCATCTGAAATGAGAATAATAGTAGTAGTAGTAGTGGTCGGTAGTGATTGTGGTGCTGGTGGTACACAACACCCCCTCCCTACACCTACATTTTCTTTGATAAATCCAATTCTCATTGTTGTTTTTTTATATTTTTATCCCTCTTTTTCTTATTGTTATCACCGTCACCAACCAACCATTACAACAAAATGCATATATACTATATGTATGAATGAGTACCAGATTGTGTTATTCATCCATCCATTGCTAATCATCATCATTATCATGATTACATTGAAATTTGTCTGGTATTATGACACTGATTGTGGGTGTCTGTCTGTCGCGTGTGTGCACAACATTGTGTGCCACACCTTCTTGGCTAATTTTTTTTTATCTTGACCATTGGGATAACGATGTGCTGATTGTGAAGGGTATTTTTTACTACTTATCAGGATAATTTAATTGTTGCTATTACTACTACTACTACTACCACTATTATTAATATTATTATTATAATACTTATTATCATATAATCTATCTCTCTTGTATTTTACTTATTGTGTAATTCATGTCAAAACAAGACAATGTTCATACCTAGATTTGTGTTCTTTTTGTTTCTCCTATCATTGGGGTGGGGAGGGGGTCATAATAAATTACGACTGTGGTTGTTGACGATGTGTGTAGAGACACTACTACATAATACTACTTATGCCTCTACCACTTGTGGACTTGCTAAGATGTTGATAGGTGGGCATGTTGAGGTTCGAACCAGTGGTCGGAAGTCGAGTGTCTAGGTCAAGGACCAGGCAACACTTCTTTTAATTAATGAAATCAACAGATATTTATAGATTTTCATGTATATAAATTATAGATTATTGTAAGCAAACAAAGTCTTGTGATTGGTGGTGGTTTCTCGCTGAACGTTAATCTTTTATCTGTTTGTGGTGATTTCTTGAAGTTTAGATTATCTATTGGCTAATTGTATCCGCCTACGCAAACAAAGTCTGCTGTGATAGGTCGTTGAGTTGGTCTTTGTTCGCATTTTTCTCATAACCCCAATATTGGGGACGTAAATTACTGTCTACCAGTTTTGGCTAGCAGCAAGCTCTCACCACAGTATAACTGTGATTTACGTGATCTTCCGGAGGCTTTCGGTAGGATCGACAACTACCTACCAACTGCCAATTTATGCAGTATGTCAAGCTGATTTTGAGGTAGACTTAAAGAGGAGAGTTGCTGCGGCGGTTGCAGAGATCGAATCATAACGAACAATAACCTACATTTCCACTTATGGGAGAGAGTTTTTCGTTTCTATCTGTGTGTGTGTGTGTCCGCCCTTCCCACGGTCGTAGAGACTTTGATTAGTCCAATTGAACACAAAGCAATAACGACAAATATGCCAGGATAATATGAGCTCATCTTTTATTGTGTTTTGAGGATTCTTTCCTACTGGCTACAACTTGAACAACACAAAAACAAGAATGACATTAAAGATATGAATGTACCTTTTTTCCACGATGACAAGGAGCAATTGATAAGAACTAAGCGTGACGTAAATGTGGAATGATGTAAGTCGTTAAAAGGATTGACAGTTTGTAAGATATATAGACGAATATGCCTGGGAACGAAGAGAGTTCGAAATAATTTTCCGCGTGGAAATGAAGTTTAACTAAAAAGAGTATAGCGATACAATAGTTTAAGTAACTACAGAAAATATATTTCTAAAAAGTTACGGAAAATGAGGTGGGGTGAGTAGTGTTTTTTTATTACAGCTTGGTTCCACACCGTATTCTTTTGGTACAGGTATCGAATTTTGAGCATGTGATACCGGTAGCCCAAAATTTTGCAGGCCGACCATAGATATCAGGTGTGTGTCGGCAGGGGGTCGAACCCCGGAACCTTTGCATGGTCAACGAGAGTCCCAACCACTGCCACCGACGCACAATAGAATTCTCTAAACAAGACTGAAGATTGAGGAGAATGCATAACGTATTATAATTGTATGCTTTGTTATTCGTAAGTTAACTCACCAAGGTAGGGCAAGATTCACCACCGTCCCTCTTTCTCTGCGTACGTAGGATTTGGCTTGAAACATTTAATGGACATTAACCTTAGCAGAAAGTAGCGCGCTAGGTTACTTTCTCATACTGATTATTTTGAACGCCTACGGATTACCCACAGTATGACTAGTGTTAAATACATCGCCTAAAATCTCACTATTTCATGCTTGTATGTGGACCCTTTAGTCTCACGGTTCTTTGATAAGTCGCTGAAAAGTAAGTAGTATCCTTTTCTCCGGTATTTCAGTAATAACTGTTGGAGCTATCGACTCTGTTCAGATTACTGATTTTTTCAAGATGATACGTTCGTCGGTGGCACAGTGGCTAGGACTCTCGCCAACCACGCACATGGTTCGAGGTTCGATCCCCTGCCCACACACACACCTGATATCTATGGTCGGCCTGCGAAATTTGGACTACCGATATCCATGCAGAAAATTCCATACTTGTACCAAAACTACAGTGTGAAATCAAGCTGTAATCGAAAATTTAAAATATTAAGTTAATAGGAATTGTTAATCTAGAAATATATTGAATACTGGTTAATATGAGAGAAACATTTAAAGAGAAATGTACCAATAAGGAAATAGATAATTTTTGAGATCTGCTTTCAACCGAATTAGTCATAAGATATAGCGTCAAATATAAACTGTAATTGATAAAGAAATACGGTATGTCAATTTCACGCGGGAATTATAAAATGATCACGCTAATTGTGGAAGGTAAGTAGCATTTTTGTACAGGTGCTGACGTGAAACATAAGAGATGCAGAATGAACAATAATTATCAGTAAGTGACTCATAAAGTGTTTGAAAGTCTATAAAACTTCATATTCACGGGTAAGTACACCATATTTGTGATATTTCCAGTTGTATATGAGACCAACTTCGAACTTGTCAGCAGATTTCATGATAGGAGTGGTTCCGTTATTCACCAGGTGAGCTAGAAATATTCCGAATAAGTAAAGGATATCAGTGCTGCCTTCGTTGAAGGCAGTTCCTTTGAAAAGAGAAAGAAGAAGACACAAGAAAACCGCCAGAGAGATGCAGAAGTATATAATAGGTGTTAATAATTCGAAATATATAACAGACATGGAGTTCATCATATTTTTATTGTTTTTTGAAGGAATGTTATTTCCTAGATAGGTTTTAGTAATGAAATTCTACACTCTTTCTTGCGAACAATTAGTTCAAGTGAAAAAAGGTGATAATTTTACCTACTTATGTAGGTTGGAAAGGAGTTAAACACAAAAGTCAGAGTACGTGAACTATGTAGAAGAAAAGCGAGGGCTTAATAATATCTACTGTTTTTTTGTCTGAAGTATACAGTTAAGTGTCCTTCTGAAGTAGCCGACTCATACCATGTACTTGCACATGCGGCAGTTTGTATTTAAACTTCGGCTTTATTTATTATTATTATTGTATCCTTTAGTTCCTAGAGGAACATAGGGC